TTTCCAGCCGGGCAACCAATGTGGTTAGGATAGTTTCATACCTTCAGACTCATCCCCTGCCTCACAGTCGGGCTCTGGTTCCGGGTCTGGTTCTGGCTCTGGGTCGGGGTTCTGCTCCATCTCAAGTTCTGCCTCTGGCTCTGGGTCAGGCTCTTGCAGCAATTCTGATTCTGCCTCAGGTTCGGGTTCCAGTTCAGCATCTTCAGAGGCTTGGGCTTCCAGCCGTGGTTCGGGCTCCTCGGGGGTCCCGGACTGCCCCGCTTCGGAGCCCTCAGGACCCCCAGCCTCATCCCATTCGGAGGCTCTGGGCAGTGCAGGGCATGTAGTTCCTGAACCAGGTGTCTCTGGCGTCCAGTGACCAGAGCACGAAGGATCATAGCTGCGGTCCCGGTAGCCTGGGGTAGAGGTACAGGTGTCTCAGGCTCAATTTATCCTTCCTAGCTTTCCCCTGCACTCACTCACTCTCCTCGCTCCAGGTTGAGCTTTTGCAGGGCTACCTGGGCCAGGACCCCTGGGGTCCCGTCCCTGCCTGCTCTGGGCCCCGCCCCGCCCGGGCCCCGCCCCGCCCGGGCCCCGCCCCGCCCCTGGGCCCCTCCCCTGCTCTTTCCCGAGTCCCGCCTGCCCCTGGCCCGCCCCTTCCTGTCCTGGGCCCCGCCCCTGTCTGCTCCTGGCTCCGCCCCTGCTCTGCTCTGGGCCGCGCCCCCGGGCGCTCACCAGGGCCCACGTGTTGCCAGTCCCAAACCGGGTCGGGCGCGCGGGTGTGCTGGGCGCAGCGCAGCAGCTCAGCGCAGGCGGCCTCTCCCTTGCTCTGCACCAGCAGCAGCAGCCGACGCACCCTGCGTTCGGCATCAGGCAGCGCGTCCAGAGCTTCATACTCTGCCCCCGTGAGCACGCCCCGAGCCAGCAGTGCGTCCAGCAACAGCCCCGAGTCAGCCTGCAGTGTCTCTACCAGGCGTTTCCGTTCGCGGTCGATTGTCTCTGATGGCCGTTCCTGTGCGTTGCCCATGGTCTAGGCTGCAAGCTGGAGGAGAAGAGTAATGGGCATCTGAGGTCTAGGCTGCAAGCTGGAGGAGAAGAGTAATGGGCATCTGAGGTTCCTAGCTCCTGACCTCTCCCGTGGTTCCAGGGAGTCACAGCCAGGTCGGTCCCAGTACATAGGACCTACAAGTCACTGCAGAGAGTGTTGTTTTTCTGCCTTGATTACTTTGTCCTATCTCCTCTTCCATTCCCAAAATGTCTGAAGGACTCTCCTAACCTCCCTTAAGGCTCTAATCATCTCTCTTACCTCTTTCTTAACCAGGACCTATTTGACAGCTCTACTTACAAATTCCACCACCATTCAGACCAGTTTTATTCAAACTAATCATTTTCTCTATCCCCACTTTAACAGACAGAATGAATGACCTAGCACTGACCCCAGATACTTCCACACTGTCATGTTCTTCCCAATCTGACTGCCGAATAGTTGTCTCATCTCCATTACTTGGGGGGCACTTAGAGAGTTGTGCTTCTAACCCAAAGGCCATGCATCTCAAATCTACCAGTAGGAGAAAGAGGGGGAGCCTGTCATTTAGATTTACAGCCTTGGAAACTCAGTGCAAGGTTGCTGGGAGTGCTGGGCAGTGAGGGTTTTCTGGGTGATGGGTTTTTCCCTCTCCATCATTTACTTTGATCTCTGCAGAGTCTTCCCTCCATGCTTTGCCCTCTGCCGCCAAAATCCAAAGTGTGGAGATATGTACACGTGCGCGGGTACACATGCATGCACATACACAGACACACACACAGGGTTCCTTTCACCTCCTGAAAGAACTCTTTTTTTTTTAAATTTTTTTTTTTTTCCCGAAAGAACTCTTGACCCCCGACTGCCCTGATGTCATCTTTCCAGACCAGGTCCACCTCCTACACTTCCCTCCACCACCACAGTGCAGCTTCCAGAATTCTCTGGTCCTTCCTGGTTCCTTGAAGACGGAGCATGAATACCTTAATACTCTTGAGTCTTGGCTCTGACCATGATTTGACATCACCTCAGACACAACTGGCCTGAGAAAGACACACTATCCTCTCCAGCATCTTGTTGTCTCTGTAGACCAGCACATAAAAGCTAATAACAAATGTTTCCCCAACTTTCTCATCTTGGTTTAACCACCCTCTGCCCTCCAGCCCTACCATGTTCTAAGTATCTGAGCTTTTGTCTGGAAGAGAGGATTTGATTTTAGTTCCTATCCTACCTTCCAGGTTTCCCTCCAGGCCCTAGTACTAGTGCTTGCAGGTGTCATCAAGACATCTCTGACTCATGGTGACCCTTTGTACAACAGAACAAAACACGGCTGGGTCCTGTACCCTCTTCACAATTGCTGCTGTGTTTGTGTCCATTGTTGTATCTACTGTGTCAAAACATCTCCTTGAGGGTATTTTGCTGTATCTCAAATGCTGCCTTCTCTGATCATTTCACCTTTTCTGACAATATCAAAGCACCAGTTCTTTCCAGAGGCTACAGAGCAGATACCAACCAGGATTATCACTTTCTCTCTTCATGTTCTAACTGCAGCAGGTGCTATTGCTCCATCCCTCAGTCTCTGCTATCAGCGCCCCAGCCCCAAGCCCACCACCATCATCTCATCTTCTGTAGCAGTCTCTCGGAGCACCTGTCACTCTCATCCCACAGCGTCTAGTTCTCTGTGCCCATTTTACAGATGGAGAGGCTCAGAGAGAAAGAAACGAGAGAGAACAAGTGGGAGAGCTAGAATCTGACTTGCGGGATGCCTGGCAGTGTGCCAGCAGTAACCACTTGCCACCCAGGCCCCAATGTCCTTCGTGAGAGATGAGGCTACCTGGCTGCTCTAGCACGCCCACCCTCTGCACTATCAGGCCCTCCCCCTGCTTTCCTCCGGGCTCCATGCTCCCAGAATTCGCCCAGCCTCAGGAACCTATGAAATGTTGTTCCTCAAGTCTGGGATGTCCTTCCCCCTCCACCTGGGTAAACCCATTCTCCAGGATTCACGTGTTCCCTTGTCTCTTCCCAAAGGCAGTCTGGTTCTGTAAGTGAGCGCCGCAGAACAGTCAATACACTTATCACTGTTACAAGCCCTCTGGAGCAGGGGGCTTCCAATGACTGTCTCCCGTCATTCCAGGAGTGGGAAAAGGGAACAGAATCTATGCTGGACGCCGAGGGTGGTGCTGCCTGGGTGGCCTTTCCAAAGCTTCCTCACTTCCAGTTAGCCTCCTCCGGCCACACCCCAAGTCCTGCCCATTGTCTTGTCTGAGGAGTGAAGCCCCTGGCTGTTGGCTGGTTGGAGATCTTCCTCCTGAAGCCTCCAGCAGGTCGGCCAAGATGAAAGGCCAGAACCTTCCTGCAGCGTGAGTGCAGGGTCCGAGTCTGAGCCCCCTACCCTTGCTGCACGGACCAGGCCTCGCTAATGAGGGTCCTGGGACTCCGCGGGGGCCTTTGCGCATGTGCACCCAAAAGGAGGCCCTTACCTCTCCACCCAGCCGCGGGTTTGACAGTCCTGCCGAGGGGCGGGGCTCACCGGCGAGTAGTTGCTGGTGGTGGCGGGTCGGGTCGCAGATTCTGTTTAATCTCCGTTTAGTTCCCTCCCCCAGCTGGATGGGGTGGGGCTACCGACCAGGTCCACTGGACAGTCTCACTCACGGGTCGAGCCTCAGTCACCCGAGAGATGACAGTGCAGAAAATGCTGGGCCGCGGGGAGGGGGGGGAACAACAGCTGCAGCGGGGGCGGGGTGACCAGGGCTGCCTGCCGGGAATGGGGCGGGGAGGGGGGCATTATTCAGGGGGCAGAGGGAGAGGGGCCGGCCAGCTGAAGCAGGACGTGGTCGGCTTTCTCTTGCCACCCTGGATTCTCACGGAGATGAATCAGGGCGGGGCACCGGAGGAGACAGTTTGGTCAGTGGCCCCACGTATCCAGGGTCCTCTCTGGGGCCTGGCGGTTCCCAGGTGTTTCACCCTAATGTGCTTGTAGACACCCCCTCTTTTGCATATCACAGGTGATCCTCAGAGAAAGGGACCTACTTACCCAGGGTCACAGAGCGGATGCATTGAGGAGCCGGGTCTGACTCAGAAACTCCCGCTTCCCGGAGGTCTCGGGCAGATCATCAGCCCAGGATTGGGGCCTGTGCAGAAGGGTTAGGGGAGGGCTCCCCAGGCACCTACACTTCGTCTGGGGGTTCTTTCATTAAAACCCTAGGATCTGGACGCTTCTATGAATACGAAGTGCCCCCACCCACCCACGACTTCTGTGCTTCCTAGTCGGTAGAGAAAAGAGACCAGAAACTGAGAAAAATGCAGTTTTATATGCAGGGGTTGACTGGGGGAATGGAGGGCAGCCGCCTAGCAGTGGGGGCGCTCAGCCACCGCCAGGGGGCGCCGGGAAGCCGAGAAGGGTGTGCTGCCTGGGACCAGCCCCTCCGCGCAGCGGGCTCCACAGGGCACCGGGCTTCTCAGGGAGAGGGGCCGGCTCCGGGGCCCAGGTAGGGGGTCCGGCTCTCCGGAGTGCCGTAAATGGTCAGAGCCCCGGGTAGGCCGAGGGCTGGGCCTCCCAAGGCCGCTGGGACGTCCAGCAGGAGCGGCCTCCCGAGCGTGGAGTCCTTGCCTAGGAGAAGTGGGGTGGTGTTCAGCAGCGAGAAACACCTCCCCGCTGCTCCCACTCCTTTCTCTGGGGAAGTATAAGCCCAGCCCACCCTGCCCTCGGTTCAGTTAGGGTGAAATGCCTTTCTTAAACTCCTCACTGTTGCCTAGTGAGGAGGGGCTTTCCTTCAAAACAGATCAGCCCAGCCACCCGGTCATGATCACTCAGCAATCAGGGCCTCCCCCCACCCCCACCTCTGGTCATGAGTCACCCCGACGATTACCTGGGCCCTGTGCATTTAACCCCTTGACTGAAAGCTCAGCTGCACCTCTCTCTGGAACCAAGGGCTGCATCTGAAAGTGAAAACTCCCTGAGGCAGCTGGGGGGGTAGTAGGGCTATGGAGTTGACAGCTGGGGAATCTTCTGGACTCTGAGGCAGTCAGTGCTCTTCAGCCTTGACTTTGCCTCAGAGAGAGCAGCAGTCATTGACCATAGGACTTAGTTCAGCAGCCCCCAGACCCCTGTCCTCTAGTTTCACCCCTGTCTTACCAGCGACAGCTCCATGTCCAGGTCCATCAGGGTCCACTCTCGCCCTGAGAGGCTGGGGCCCAGTACCTGAGGGGGAACTTGGGGTCAGTAGCCTTCTCCAGGCCATACAAAGGGTTGGACCCAGAACTGCCCCTCACCCCTGTTGAAGGAGTACTCACATCCAGGGGGCCTGCAGACTCCAGACTTTCTGGGGTACCCCGAAGCAACATCGGAGGCATCAGGCCCTCTGGGCTCCGGGCCCCCCTCTCCAGAGTCTCCCTGTATACACAAAACTGCTGTTGGCTTACAATGCCCACTCCACCCACCCCCCTTCCACCCTAGAAAACACTAGGAGTCCCCCTAAGGGACATACAGAATGCCTCTTTGGGCTGTGGGATTGGGGTCTTGCCCTTCCCTACACTGTAAATGTCAATTTTGCACATCACAGTCATTTCCAGGAACTTGTGCAAAATGAATACCCTTGGACCCTTCCACAGAGCCAATGATTGATCTGAACAAGAGTCAGGAATGTTGTATCCTAATAAGCTTGCCACTTTCCAGGGGACTCTGATGCTGCTCCCCCTTGGAGAATGCTTGGAAAAGTCAGGTCAGAGTCATAGACACAGAGCCCAACCTCCCCCTCAGTCCCTAAAAGGCAGAGAGGATGCAGATTTGGTCAGCTGACAGATGCTGGGCTTAGAGGCACCAACTCTGCTCACCTGTCGGGGACCTCCCTGGGGCCCCTTGGTTCAGGCTGCTGGGTATTCCTGGGCCCCTCAGGGCTGAAGCTCCCTTTCCCTTCCAGGATGGCTTGGACCACAGCCACAGGCAGCAGTGGGGGGGCTGTCACGCAGAAGTCACACTCGTTTGGGGCCAGGGCCAGCCCAGCCTCGCCTTTCCCCCCTGGGCTGGCCGGCTCTTCTTTGAGCAGTGCCAGACCCTTCTCCCTGCACCAGAGAAAAGCTTCAACCAGACCCTGGCACTGCCCTCTCCCCCAATCCCCACAGCCAGCCCAGTGGCCAGCCCCTCCCCTGCAGGCTCCTCAAAGGGTAGCCCTGGCCCCCTTACCTCCCACCACCACTGGGAGGAGAAAGCCCGGCCCCTTCTGAGGATGGGGAATCTTCTACAATGTCAGAGATGATAGGTCCCCTGGTCCTGTGGGGGCTGCTGAGGCTGGAGGTGGTCTCTGAGAGTGGCTGCAAGTAGAAGGCCAGGCCAGTCCTTGACCTCAAGTCACAGAGGGCCACAACCCCGAAGCATTCACTGGGACCCCGTCTAAGGGAAGAGGTCTGAGGAGCAGAGGCCCTGTTTATTCTGGGGAGCTTGAACCTGGAGAGGGCTAAGCTCTACCTGTTCTTTGAGGGAGATGAGGAGGTTCCCATAGGCCCAGCTGGACCCTAAGAGGGGGAGGGAAGCCTATACTTACAGACTGGATAAAGTAGGGGTCCTGTAGGAGGGCACTAGGTAGGGGGCAGCTGAATTTGGCAGGTGGTGGACAGGTGCTCCCTTCATCCAGCATCAGGGACCTGTGCACGGTGGGCAGGCATGGGCAGGGGGCAGGGTACACTCAGCCCCTGTGCCCTTCAGCCTCCACCTCCCTCCCTCAGGCCCCAGCAGCCAAGTCAGCAGAGCTGGGGCTGTTGCCAGGGCGTCAGTCACATGCTGGAGGCAGAAGGGGCTCCCCTCAGAGATGGGGGCCCTCTGGGGTAGAGAGGGGCGGGTGAGAGCATGGTTTGAGCCCCAGGCCCTCCGCCATCGATTGCTTTGGGGTGGGGAGGAGAGGGAAGGATTGTGAGAAATTGGAAATAGGGTCCTCCATGGAGCAGGGGCGTCTTGGAGTGGGGGTGCCTGGCAGTAGGATCGGAGGAGGTGCTGGGTAGAGAGGGGGTTGATTGGGCACCCTGTAGGGGAGGTGGGAACGAAGATTGCAGAAGATGAGGTTTCTGGAGAAAGGGGTCCCTGCAGGGGACTTGTGGGGCAGCCCTGGAAGCAGGGGAATGGGAGCGGCTTTCTCACAGCTTCCTCTTGGCTCCCGCGCTGCCAGACCCTGCCTGCAGGGGCCCAAAGAGGCACTGGATCAGCTGAAGAGAAAGCAGAGTCAAGTCTTACTCTGGTCCCGCCCTCCACTTAACGGAACACCTCTAAATGCGCGAGGGTGGGACCTTAACTCCTGATCTGGGGCTAGGCCAGGACAGAAAGAGGTGAAGAGGAGGGGGAGCAGGGTCGGGGTTGAGGAACACCTTGCCAATGATTCGGTGCTGCTGTCCGTGGCTCTGCCGCAGTGTCACCACCTCCCGCCACAGAATTTCATTCTGCCTGGGGGAGTAAGGAGAAAGAAGCTGAGGCTCGGGAGAGCAGACCCAGTTCCTCTCCCAGAGAATGACAGGCCTAGATCCTGCGACCACCCAAATGGTCATTATCCCATAGAGTTCAGAGAGGTCCACGGTTCGGCCCATACATCCCCATGGGGGCGCTGGGGACCGAGAGGGAAAGGGGCTGCGCCCCACTCGCAGACCCCGCCCCGCTCGCCCCAGCCCCGCGCACTGCCTGAGCTCGCGCAGCCGCGCCTCTGTGCCCTCCTGCGCGCCCCGCAGAGCCTGCACTTCGCCCAGTAGCCTTCCCAGGTCCTCCGGGCGCCAGCGGCCGTCATCACCGCGCAGCGCGGGTACCTGCGGGCGACAGGAGCAGGGCAGGGTCTCTTAGGCTTAAAGGTATCATCCTCACGTCTGCACCCCTTCCAGCCGGCCGCTCCCACCTTGCGCCGCACGCGCTCCAGCAGCTGCTCGTGGCCGCGCACGAAGCTTGGGTGTTGGAACTCGACGTGGTCACGCTCGGGCCTGAGCAGGCCACCCTGCTCGATGCTCACCACCTTCCGAAAACCGTCTGGGAAGTGAGTGGGGCGTGAGGGCTTGAGCCGTCCCCTCTCTAGGGGCCAAGCCACCCATATCTGCGCCCATCCCGACCCCAGGACTCACACATGTTGAGCTGCCGTACAAAACTCGCCATGTTGCTATGTTTGAAGTACTGGGGCAGCACCTCCTTGGCGAAGCGGTTCTGGTCACTAACGAGGAAACTGGTTCCGCTCTGTGGAGAACACCGCCCGCCCATCGGCCCCGCGGGGACCAGACAGCGTGAGAGGTGCCCGCCCCTGGCCAAGCCCGCTCTAGGCGCGCGCACACACTCTCTAGGGACCCAACCTGCTGCTCTCGGGAACTTGGGGAACAGATCAGGTGTGAACCTGGTGTGAAGCCCAGCCAAGGGAGTCTGTGATGAACCTCCTTCCCAGGCCGACCTAGACTCAGGTCTCAGAAAGGTTTTTTTTTGAGCAGACACCAGCCCCAGATTCCAGCCCCTCGGGTGCACCAGGTCGGGAGCCCTTCCATGGCTTCTGTTTCCCCATCTGTCAGATGGGCAGGGGTGGGAACAAATTAGCTGCAAATATCCCTTGGGCTTTAGGTCCCTAGGAGGCTCCTACCCCCTTCTTGGCTCCGGAGGATCCTGCACACTTTCTCCAAGGCTAGATGCCCCAGACCAATGAATCAAAGGACCCACACACAGCCCGGTCCTAGAAAGGGGTTCGGTGGGCCTGGGTGTTCACTGAGGTCGAAGGACCCCGGGGGAGCTTTGGGGGCCCCAGCCCTCACCGGGCTCCAGCGAATCAGGTGGTCGGTGCCAGGGTCGCCCACCAGAGCCCACAGCTTCCCGAGGAAGGCAGGCACGGGGCTGGGGCCCGGCTCCGCCGCCGGCAGTGGAGCTGGCGCTTCCTGCATAGCGCAGTGTCGCCCGGCTCAGCGCTCGGCCCGGCCGCAACCGGCTGGTCAAAGCCGCGGAAAGTGCTGCGTTTGTCGCCCGCCCCGCCCTACTCCGCCTCCGGGCGCCGGGTCAGGCGGGGGCCACGTGCGAACCTGTGGGGCGGGGCTCGGGCCACGGCCTCCGCACTAGCGAACGGAAAGTAAAGGCTGGAATCAGATGCATATCAGGTGGAGGTCTGGGTCGGAGCCCCTACCCTTCCAGGCCTGCTGGAGAAATCCCCTGTACAGAACTTGTGTGGGCTGGGAAAGTCCTACAAGGAGATGTGTTTGGGCTAGATGAAGGCCTGTAGGACAGAGAGTCTGGACTAGGAGAGTGAGAAGGGGGTACAGGCTCCCTTCCACTGAGTCCTGTATTAGTGTTCCGCCCCCTGATTCCTGCAGGTATCTTCAGGGTCTGAATCCTTCCTCACCCCTCCGGGACAGCTCCTTGCATCTCTCTGTGCCTTCCCCACCTTCCCAGTTCAAAACCAACTTCACAGGACACTGAGACAATGCAGGATTTTATTGCACACTCACCCTTGAACCTGGCCCGTCTCCTCCCTCCAAACCCTAGCTGCAGTTCGCACAGAGTCCCAAGACAGGTGGGGTCGAGGGATGGCGACCTCCAGACACAACAGGGTTTCTGCAGAGGTTGAGGGCCTGGAATAGGCTCTGAAGGTCCCAGGCTGGCCCTGGCGCCATTCCAAAGGTCTTGAGGGGCATCAGAATCTTGAAAAGATGGAGCTAGCAGCGAGGCTTTCTCAGGCGCCCCACCCAGCATCCCTGAAACCGCACTTTTTTTTTATACCGCACTTTTGCGGGGAGGTAGGAGTTGCTTCATCACGCCACCAGTGTGGGCTGCCAGGGATGAGGCTCGCGCGTTAGTTTGAGCGTGTAGCTGCGCAGGCGCGGGCAGTGCGCGCGGAAGGCGCTCAGCACGGCGCGCCGCACCACACAGAAGCAGTGCACCTCGCGCAGTCCCTTGCAGCGCGCCGCCAGGTTCTCCAGCGCTGTGTCCAGGGCGGCTGAGGCGGCGGCGCGCACTTCAAGAGAGCGCAGGCTTGCGGCATAGTGCTGTGCTGCGAAGTGCACGGGTCCTACAGTGTCGCCGGAGAGGTTGAGACGCAGGGCAGCCACGGGCACCGAAGGCTGGAGAATGCGCCACACAGTGTCAGCAGACAGCACCGGCTCCAGCTCCAGCTCCACGGTCATCTCTGGGTGGCGGTGGCGCAAGGCTGCCCAGGCCTCGTCGGGCAGGGTGGGTGCGCGTGTGTCTTCCGGACAAGCGCACCGCACGGCCAAGAGCATGAAAGGAGCGCGGTCAGGCACGGCCAGCATCTCGAGGGCAGAGGGAGACAGGCTAGCGAGGTGCAAGCCTAGGAAGCGCAGATTTGGGCAGGCAGCTAGCAGCTCTAGCACAGAGTCAGGCCCCACGCTGCCCACCAGAGTGCAATTGTCCAGGAAGAGGCTGCGGAGCTCAGGGCAGCTATGTGCTACCCGTAGCACCAGCGTGTCATTCAGCGTGAAGGGCAAGCACCGCAGGTCCAGGAGGTACAGCCCGCGGGCAGCCCTGCAGACTGCGTGCACCGCGCCCAGGATGTCGCTCCCAGAGTCGAAGAGCGGCTTCTCTCCGCGACATGCCAGACGGAGGCCTCGCAAGCCCTGGGCACGGCCAGCCAAGGCTGTCAACAGCTGTATGGCCGCCCAGCGGCTCTGTTTCCTCGCTGGCTCAAATTCCAGACGAAGATTGCGGATGTGATCCAGGCAGGTGGAGAGAGATGGTGGTAGCATGCCTTCCTGCTCACAGTCGCAACTTGGGTCAGAGTGCCACAGAAAAGGCATTAGCTGCATCCTCAGACCGCGGGAGAAGCTCCTATTGCCTCCTGGCCAGGGTTCTGTCCACCTTGCTCACTGTAGCCCCCTATATACACCCCTTTCTTCCTGTCTCCACTATGCTTGGAAAGCAGCCTTGATGGGATGAGGGAACCCCCACTCCACCTTGTAGTAGCACTTGCCACAAGTTGAAACCTTCGGGGGAGCCAATGATATTTTAGGAAAGGGCTGTCCCAGTGTTTCTTGAGAGAAAAGGCCAGATTGAAATCCTTTCTCTGCCTCTCCCTGAGTGGCAAAGTGACTACATCTCTCTGCCTCAGTTTCCTACTTAAATAATAGGGGAAATAGCACTTAAATATCACATTTTGTGAGAATAAAATCACTATATGCCAGGCATTTATAACAGTGGCTACTCCTTAGCAAATGGTCGATAAAGTTAGATATTTTGCTTTATAATATCACTGAATCTTCACACCACTCCCCTCCCGCGGTGGCTCCCTTTTCAGAGAGAGGGAATAAGATCTGGCAGGGCGTCCCAGATGGAGCTGGCTCACCTGATGTTCGTGTCATGCCACACGGTGCTGCAGGTGACGGCAGAGGCCCAGGCCTTGCAGACTGCAGCGGCAGCAGCCCGGTCCCTCAGTGGTAGGTGGCGGAAAATGAGTACCAGCACTTCCTCTGGCAACTGCCTTTTGGGTTCAACCATAGTGTAGGGGTGTGGGCAAGTCCTGCCTGGAGAGAGGGATGTCTTTAAGCTCAGGAAGGCCCATGTGCTGAGAGAAGGATGTAAGCCTGGGTGTAAAAAGGCTTGTTGCCTGGCAACTGCTGTTTAACTTGCAGAGTCCAATGCAAAGTGAAAATGCAAGGTCCCTGGTTTAAAAATGAATTCCAAGACAGGGAAAGCAGAATATGTCATCAAGTACTAAACTAATGTGGAGCCCTGCCTGCCCCACAGGTCGCAGGCCTGTGACATTGGCCTTGCGTGCCAGTGTGTTTCATGGTGACCCTGGGTGTCCATCTCCAGATCTAAGTAGATCTCCAGGCCTTTCTTCTGTGGTACTTGGGTCTCTTTCACGATTTGCACCACCCAGAGGCCCCAAAGTGTTTCATCTTTCGTTTAATGACTTGTTCAAGCAGTTCACACTTTAATTGCATAGAAACGCAAACCTATGACCGAAATTGATGAAGCCTCTTTGAAAGATGCTATCTTGGGAAAAAAAAAAATAATCATCTTTCCTGGCAGAAGCTGGAGGACATTTGGCATAGGCCCTTGTTCCAGACACCTCCCCACTTTCCACAGCCCACATCCTCGGACCTTCCTACACACATATTAAGACAGCTGTGGTTTGAGTTCTGATTAGGGCGGGATGAGCTTAAGGTCCGCAGGGAGGGCCATTCCACTCAGGGCCTGTAGGCAGTAAAGGGCCATCAGAATCACCAGGATATTAATTCACAGTCCATATCCACGGCCCCGCCTACTGACCCCGGAATCTTCATTGAAAGAGCCCTGGAATCCAGGCTGCTTTTTTGTCCTAGCTGTAGCGACTAAAGGGTTAATAGGGAAGGCACTTTAAAAAAAATAACACTTTAATTGGCAAGGGCCACGAGCCAATCAAGAAGCAGGGGCGCGGGCAGGGCGCAGCTGGAACCGCCCTTTTCAGAATCCCGCGAGGTCCTGGTACTTCCTACCAAAGGCTGGCGGGGCGGAGAAAAGCGTGGGGTCCCGGGGATTTTAGAGACCCTCGGCCTCAAGTCCCATCCCTGTCCACCGAGCAGCCCTGGCTCGCGCTGGGCCGGGTGAGTCCCCCTAGATTCCCGCAGACCCTCCCGCTGCACGCGCCGCCCTAGGGGAGGAGGAGAGGGTGGAAAATGTGCGTCCTGTGTGAAGCTGCCAATTTTATGTCAAGATCCCTTGTTAAGTTTGAACAATGATTTGTTCTGTCATACACGGGAAACTGACTCGTCGGCACCTACAATAAAGTTTACACACACATAACGCTCGACACCTTTTGCAGTTTTAGCTCCCAGTTTTCTTTCCAGGCTAAAGCTCGCTCCAGGAATTTTGTAGCCTGAGATTCCATGCGTCCTGGGCCCCAGCTAGTCCCGGAGACGTTTGAGTGCCAGGAAATACCGGATCAGAGATCAGGGACCCCATCCTCCCGGGGAACACTTCCAAATCCTGATCCCCTGGGAGTGCCCCCTGAATGGTCTGTCTCAATTGCTCCGCCCGAGGAGGCGGGACAGCCCTGCCTCGGGGCCTCCTATGACTGTCAGAATGGAGAGCTCGCTAGAAATCTCTTGCGCTTGCTGCCGTCGGGCGTTGGCACCCGGTGTCTTACCTGCTCAGCGGACCAGGTGGGCTGTACTCGGAGGCAGGGGGATGACTGTGGAGGACAGCTGGACCCGCGGGGCCCCGGGTACTAGGCGGTGGGGCACGGGGGGCGGGACGCGAGCGCGGACGGGGCGGCCCTGGCTGGGCACCGCCCCTGCTGCTCCGCGCACACCCGGAAGCGGCGCGAGTGGGTCCAGCCGGCCGAGCGTGGGAATTCGGGCCGGGGTCGAGGCCAGGTTAGTGCGGACGGTGGGTGGACGCCCTAGTGCCTGAGGGAAGGGGAGGCGGAAACCCGGTCCTGGAGCGGGAGCACAGCTGTCAATGTCACCCGTGACTGCCGTGGCCTGGTGGTAGTGGGTTGTTCTGTGGGAGGCGGAATGGTGGGGTGTAGACCCTGACTTCTGCAGGGTTTTGCCTCAATGAAGACTTTCAAGAGACAGCAGGGTACCTCTGGGTGAGAAGAACCGCAGAAAGGTTTTAACCTGATGGATGCGGGGAACCTCTGCGATCCCAACGCGCTGCGTGCTATCCTCTAGCATGGTGACAGGAGGCTAGTGGGAGCCTGGGGGTGGCCCTTGAGTGGTCCAGAAGGAAGCAGCTGAGTTGGGGGCGCGCAGGAAGTGAAGGCTTCCAGTGGGGGGCTGAGCCCGGAGGTTGTCGCCGCCCACCTGGGTCTGCTGGGCCTTTGGCTCTTGTGATGTGTTGATGGGGCCTCACGCTGGGCTGGCCTCCTTACTCCAAGTAGATTTTCTTGGGCCAATGTCCACAAGCCCCAGAGTCTCTGCCCAGCTCAGAGTCTCCAGAACTGAGCATAAGCGCAGGCTCCCGGCCCACAAACCAGCGGATTCCGGGTGGGTGGGGCGCGGGGCTTCCCGGTTGAGGACGGGTTTCTACATGGCAGGAAGCCTGGGAAGGAGTTACTGAGGTGAATATAAGAGTCGAGGGTCCCCAGCCTCTTCTTTACCCTGTTAACTGACCCTTTGGGCTTCCAGCCTGAATTCCTGCATCTGTCCATTCCTAGAGTGTCCTGGGCTAGCCGTGCCCTCCATGTTTCTCAGGCCTCTGGGCAGGTCCGATGGACAGACTCTGGCCCACTCCATCTCTCTTATCACCCTTTGGGCCAGGACCACAGCCGTCCAGTAAGACATTCTTAAACTGGAAGTTAGGAAGATGTAGAAAATGAAAGGCTTCCACTCTCCTATGAACCCTTAACCAGGTGGGTTGACACGGTGACTATGGGGATGGGTTTGAATGTGGCAGATTGTGAGGTTGGCACAGGATAGGACAGGATAGGATCGATTGTTCATAGGGTCGCTATGAGTCGACTCGACTCCATGCCACCTAACAACAACAACATCTACCCCTCTAGGTGATCTGGGGCCAGTACTCCACTGTTTTCTTACTTGTCTCCCCTTTTCGGTCCCACTTGCTACAGAGGAGTCTCACCGTTATTTATTTAGCTGCTTTTTTCTTTAATCATTCAAGAAATGTGTTGATTTTACAAGTAGTAGTAAATACTGGGAAATACAACAAAAACTAAAGTCACCCCAGATCCCCCATCACAAGGAGATAAACAATGTCAACGTCCTCATAATTTTCAGATTATCATTGTGGGGAAATATACATATATTAGTGTTTTCTTCAAAGTATTGAAGAGCAGTGATGTCATTTTGAAGACTAAGGTGCACTCGATTCAGGCCATGCCCTTTTTAATCACTTGCTATATACATCTGAGAGCTGGATCATGAATAAAAATTACAGAAGACAAAGCGATGCCTTTGAGTTGTGGTGTGCTGAATATCCACGGATTGTCAAAAGAACAAACAGAAAGTGAAGCCACAATATTCCTTAGAGGCACAGATGGCAGTTTTATCTCACAAACTTTGGGCATGTTGCTAGAAAGGGGTATTCTTTGGAAAAGGACATTAAAGTAGGAAGGTGGAAGGTCAGTAAAAGAGAGGAAGACCCTCCAGTGAGCTGGACTGACACAGTGACTGCAGCAATGGGCTCAAGTGTGCCAGGTGATGAGGATGGTGAAGAATAGGACAGGGTTCGGATCTGTTGTCCATACAAGTCATACTTGACATCTAAAAATAACAGTGGTGGGTGTTTTCTACCAAAAGCTTATGGAGGAGAAGACTTCAAGGGGCTTGTCACCTTGTGCTCAGACCTAGGGTAGCACGACCACCAGGCTGTCATTTTCCTTGGAGGGTGCCTGACAACTTACTGCCCTCAGGTGAGTGTTTAGAGTAGATCAGAAATGCAACCTTTGAGCTCAGAACCTATGTCCCTTCCCAAATCCCCTACGTTCTAAGGTTCCCTGTCACTCATGCAGATAGATTTCTTCTGGGGTCACTCCATCTGTTCTACCCAGAGCAGGTGACATCCAGGATGCTCACAGTTGGATCTCAGCACCCCTCCTAGCCCACCATATAAATGAAGGCTCAGAAGTAAGAGTATCACTGAAGGGTAGGAGGTGAGATCTGGAGCCTGTGTGCCGGAAAAGGGTGGGATGGAGCATGAGGTGAGGTGGGGCAGGCTCCAGGAAGCAAAGGAAATCCCAAGAGGTCTCCTCATTGGCCCAGGCAAAGTTACAGGGTTGGTTTTGATTGGTTCACCTTGATATAGCCCATCCTAAACTAATCACTGGAGAAAGGGGAGGTGGCATATGCTGGCTGACAGGGCCTGGAATAAACAAGTCCAAACTTGGAGCCAGAGAGTAATGTTAGTCCTACCAAGAGGCACTGTGATTGAGATGGAAGAGGGAGAAATCCCTAACGTCTGTCTCTGCTGAGAGAAGGCATCTGGGCAGGATCAAATACAGGTGTCCATCCGTGAAGCCAGAAGGCGGGTGACAGAGCCTCCTGAGGCTCAAGTTTAAGCGGAAGATTTGCATGAATGGTTGCATGAAACACCAATATCGCCAATATCCTTTTTAAAGCTTTCAAATGCAAAAGAAAGAAAAAGCTTAAGTGGAGGACAAGGCCAGGACATGAGTACCACCCACTATGGGAGTGGACGCTGCCAGGTTCCTGAGCTGTTAGCTTTGGCTTTGGTAAGAGAGACTTGATGACCTGGGGAGGGAGCAGAGCTTCTCCTGCCCTCCGCTGCCACACTGCCCCTCCCTTGGGCTCTTCCCTGAGAAGGTGATGAGTGACAGTTGTCACTGCAAGGCTAGGCTTTGTCAGTGAGGTGGTGAGCTTCTTGTCCCCAGGGTGCCAGCTGGATAGGGCCGCGGTGGGTGGAGGGGGCAGCTAGGCTGGAACAGCTATTTTCAGGTGTAGGGGTGACTTGGACATATCCTGCATATTCAGGAGCTGGGATGGCAGCTGGGCCAAATGACTGCGAGGAGGGGGTGGGCAGCGCATACCTGTTTGTGGAGTCGTCAGTGGACAAGGTGGTCCTGTCAGATGCCTATGCTCACCCCCAGAAGAAGGTGGTGGTTTACAGCGCCCTGCGGGCTGCTCTGGCAGGTATGTGGTGGGCCAGCGAGGGTGAAGGGAAGGGCTGGGTGGGGTAGTTTGTAGACCCTGCTGGGGGCTCAGGCTTCACCTCCCAGGCTCAGGGTTGGCTAAGTGGTCAGGAAGGTTTGCTGGGGGAGGCGCCAGACTGCACCTGCTCAGTCCTCTCTGCTGAGGGTTTGTGTGTCTGACCATCTGCCTGTACATTAACGCCCCCTGCTCACTGTCCCCCTGCTCCACGGCCTACCGCTCACTCATTTCTACTAATCGTGCCTCTTTCCTGTTTCCCTCTCTTACTGCAGCGCTCCTTGCTCAAGACCCCTCCCCAGTACCTACCCTTCCGGATCCCTTTTTCCTATGTCAGGGCGGAGGCCACAGGAGGCTGAAGCCAGCTAGGGGGTGGGAGGTCCGGCTGCAGTCCCAGCCCCTCTCCTTGCGGGGGCAGTGGGAGGCCCACTTGGTGGAGGCAGAAGACCCGAGACCTCCCTCCTCCCTTCCGCCCCACAAGCTTGGCTGCACAGTTACGACTGTGCTGCAAAATCCCTCTTCACGTTTTCATTTGCCCACCTTCATCTGGGCCTTCAGAGATGAGGCTGTTGGTACCCACTTCGTCTTGGAATAGGTCCCGGTCCTTATTCTGGGCTCTTGCCTTTTGCATCCCAATTTTGTTTCTCACCTGGGTGCTCTGGGGCAACCCCACGCCCCAACTCTGGAGAACGGCCCCCCATCGGGACCACCGGGCGCCTGACTGCCTACCTCCGCAGAGAGCGGCGGGAGCCCTGGCCAGCTGCAGATGCTCAAGATCCATCGCAGTGACCCGCAGCTGATCGTGCAGCTGCGCTTCTGCGGACGCCAACCGTGCAGCCGCTTCCTGCGCGACTACCGCGAGGGGGCGCTGCGCGCCAAGCTCCAGAAGCGCCTGGCAGCCGCGCTGTCCCTCAACGCCCTGCAGCTGCACCTGGAGCTGCGCGCGGGCACCGAGCTGCTGGATACTTTGCTGCCCGACGAGGATCGCTGCTTGAACTGCATCTTCGCCCAGAAGGTGCGACTGGGCTGGGTCCAGGATAAGGTGGAGCGGGACCCTCGGGCCGGACCCCACCGACGCCTCTCTCCTCTCCCTAGCCTGACCGGCTGCCGGACGAAGAGCTCGCTGAACTTGAGCACGCGCTCAGGAATCTGACGTGCGGCCCGGGGGGCCAGGGGGCCGGAGGCTTGAAGGTCACTCCGGCTCCCGTGAAATCCCAGGCCCCTTCAGGGGAGAAGCCTCCGCCGCCATCTGACCAGACTTTCCTGTTCCAGGGTCAGCTCATAGGTAAGGCGCACTTCCAGGCAGAGTGGCATTTGGGAGGAGCGAGGTCTGGGTCTGGTGGGGAAGGGGGTCCTGCTTTGGGGTCCCCACCTTGAAGCTCAACCTGTCTTCCCTCTCCCCCTGCAGCGAACCGGCCTCTGAACCTCCAGGACCAGCAGACGTTCGCACGCTTAGTGGGCCTCAAATGGCGCAAAGTGGGGCGCACGTTGCAGCGTGGCTGCCGGGCGCTGCGGGACCCCGCGCTGGACTCCCTGGCCTATGAGTACGAGCGCGACGGGCTGTACGAGCAGGCCTTCCAGCTGCTGCGGCGCTTTGTGCAGGCCGAGGGCCGCCGCGCCACGCTGCAGCGCCTGGTGGAGGCGCTGGAGGAGAACGAGCTCACCAGCCTAGCCGAGGACTTGCTGGGCCTGGCGGATCCCAATGATGGTGGCCTAGTGTAGGCCGGGCACCCCAGGAAGGGATTGGAACACCTTGATGCCTCGAGTGTCCCTTCTGCTGCTACTGCTGACCCTCGGCCATCCACGGGACTCTGAGACCACACCTCTTGGCCTGTCTGCTGGACCTGCAGGAGTCAGTTGAATTCTCCAGGAGTGGGACCAGGGTCCATCAAATATCGGAGGTGCACCACTGGGCACTCTACTCCAGATACCAGGAGAGAGGTGTGGGGGACTCGCTGAGAGGTCAGCCACGCCCTCCCCACCCCAGAAGAGGAGCTGTGGCTGGCCCTTACCTCGTCACTCACGGAATGATTATTCTAGGCCTCTTCCTGCTGCTACAAACACGTGGTGAGCAAGATGGAGGAATCCCGCCTGCCCCCAGCTTACACTCAGTATGGGACTTCAAAAAAATAAGCAACAGTAACAAAATATAATCATGCATTTTGGTGTTTTGGTTTTTTAAAAAATATTATATTTTGGGTGAAAGTTTACACAGTTTAGATTCTCATTCAACAGTTTCTACACAAGTTGTTCGATGGTAACATCGGTAACATTCTGTAGTGCACATTCTCATTTCTGCTGATTGTTTCCATTAATCTAGTTTCTCTGCCCTTCACGTTGTCATCTTTGGTTTTTGTTTTTTTATTTTTATTATTATTTATGTGTCTGAGTACCGTCAAATCAGATTTGACTGGTACAGGAGGAGATTGTTCCTGCTTCTCCAGCAGAGCATCTGGTGGATTTGAACCGCACACCTGTGGGATTGCAGTGCATCATCTTTGTTTTAAAGAAAGTGTTGACTCTCTCACATCATGATAGACGATGAAGAGATTGAGATTCTTAACAGCTTCAGTTTGCTTGAGTCCACAATCAACACTGTTGGTACCAAGCAGTCTGCTGTCAGAGACCTCTGTCCAAAGTCCTGAAGAGCAATGATGTCAGTCTGGAGACCAAGGTGCACCTGATTCAGGCCATGGTCTTTGTAATTACTTGCTATGCATCAGCTGGGCAATGACTAGGGATGACAGAAGGAGAATTGATGCCTTTGAGCTGTGGTGCTGGAGAAGAGTATTGACTATACCATGGACTGCTAGGAGAACAAACAGGTTCATCCTGGAGAGGGTGAAATCAGGCTGCTCCTGGGAGGCAAGGATTCTGAAGCTTCTTCTGACATACTTTGGACATGTTGCAAGGAGGGACAATCCTTGGAGAGGAATGTCATGCTTGGGAGGGTGGAGGGACAGTGCAAGAGAGGAAAATCTTCGATGAGGTAGATTGATTCAGTGACTAGGGCTATAGGGGTAGGTGTGATAGAGACAATAAGATTGGCATAAGTTTCAGGGCTGTTGTACACAGGGTTGCTGAGTCACAAGTGACTCGATGGCACATAACATTTTTGTTAAAAGTACAGTACTTACGGATGGTATTCATTTTTAAAAAAATTAACTATATTTATTGTGATTTGAGTGAAAGTTTACAGAGCAAATTGGTTTTCTATTCATCCAGTAATTTATACATAGTTTGTTTCATGACCTTGATTGCAGTCCCCACACTGTAACAACACTCCTCCACTTCGGTTTCCATTTGTACTTTTTCCTATCCCATCCTGCCTTCTGAACTTTGTCCCTGGGCCTGCTGCTCTCTTGATGGTGTATGGATGGTTGTTCTGAGGAGTAGCATCTCCCTGTTACCTTGGGATTAGGTGTTCGACTCATATTGACCCAATGAACAATAGAGCTGAACCTTGCCTTACGGGCCTCTCTACTGTTTGGCTGAAATGTGAGTCGTGGGTGTGATTTGAGTTCTAGCCTTGAAAGGTGACTAAGAGCCATATAGTCTCGGGGGTTCCACCAGCTCCTTATCAGATCAGTGAGCCTGGCTCTGTTGTGCTTTTGGTGGTATTTTGAGTTCTGTTGTATATTTTCCTCCCAGTCTCTCAGGGCCTTTCTACTGGGATCTCCGTCAGAGGAGTCTGCGTGTTAGCTGGGTGCCTTCTAGTTCTTTGGGTCTCAGGATCATGGAAATGGTATTTTATGTGGTTCCTCAGTCCTTGTGGACTAGTAGTCTTTATCTTCACTCTGATTTGCTCCAAATGAAAGTAGAGGGAGATCAACAGTTGCACTAGATGGATGTTCAAAAGCTTTAAAAGGCCACGTTGTTAGGTGCCGTTGAGTAGAATTCATAGTGACCCTGTGAACAACAGATCTGAACCCCATCCTATCCTGTGCCGTCCTCACAATCTCTGGCACCCTCGAGCCCATTGCTGCAGTCACTGTGTCAATCCACCAGGGTGAGGGTCTTCTCTTTCACTGTGTCCCCACCTTTCCAAGCATAATGGCCCCTCCAAGGAATAATCTCTCCTTAGCAATATGCCCAAAGTATGTAAGAAAAAACTTGGTAATCTTTGACTCCAGTGAGTACTCTGGCTGCACTTTCTCCAAGACATATTTGTTCTCTGGGCATCCCATGGGATATGGCAGTACTATCTTCACCACAATTCAAAGGCACCACCAGATGGATAGCAAGTCACTGAAAAGATCATGGCCTGTATCAGGTACACTTTTGTCCTCAAACTGACATCATTGCTCATCAATATTTTGGTGAAGTCCCTGAAACTTTCCAAGTACACTAAGTCTCCTGATCTCCTGATTGCTCAAACTAAGTGTATTGACTGTGGATCCAAGCAAGTTGTTGACATGCCCAAAGTATGTGAGATGATTTTTTTACTAGGATTTAAAGACCCTAGACACTACCAAAGTAAGATGGAGGACATTGACCCTGTGGACTGTGTTATGCCAGTCAACCTTGATGTCCTCAGGGATTAGTTTTAGTTCAAGGTTTGAGGAACAATCCTGGGTAGTAGTCTGGGGGAATCCTCCAATCTCAACCAGTACAGTAAGTCTAAGATTATTTGTTTATGAATCTAAGGTTCTATTCCCATTCTGTCAAAGTTCATCTATAGTGGTAGCGAGGGACCATGAAGTTCTGGCATCAGAGCACATGAAGCCATGGTTCGTTACCTGTAGGAAGCATCTGGATGTCTCAGGGGTTCTTTGGAACCCTGTCTGGCAAGACTGAGGCTGTGATGAACTGAGGCCAGGAGCTCAGAGGGACAAATGGGGGCTTGGAAGTCAGATTGGTCCGTGGGGCTCTTGCAGCCTCTGGCCCCGCCCCATTCCAAAGAGGCTTCTTCCAGCTTCCCAGAAGAGGGCTTGGGAGACCCTAGTCTGCGATCATCTCAGGCCTTCCCGATGAACTCAGGCCTTCCCGAGGAGGAGAGTCGCCCTCCACACGGAGACAGCACTTCTGGAGCCAGGGCGGAGCTGAGCTCCAGATGTCCAGGCGCATACAGCTGGAGAATCACGTGGCAGGGGCTCTAGTCCCCCCTCCTTCCTGCCAACGCTGCATTTGGCCCAGGCCCGTCTTTAGCTGCCCCTGGGACCCCGTGGTTGAGCCCCGGAGGCCCCGGGTGGGGGCCACCCTGCTCCTGAGAGCTGAGCGTGAGTGCCTAGATTTCAGGGACCAGTGCGGGAGGGAAGGGTGAAGGGATAGCAACCCCGGGTAGAGAGGGGTGGTCGGGGAGTGGGGCCACGTTTCCCCCGCCTGAGGGTACGGGTCTGGGCCAGACGTTAAACTTTGGATAGGCCCGGGAACTTCCTCCCTCTGGGCTGGTGCGTTAGAGCAGAAGAGGAATTGTGGAGACCCCCCCCCCAGGCGTGGCCTCTACCCACTCCTCTCAAGGAGGCGGGCCCTGACAACGTCTCCCCACAGGGAGCGCAGGCCTCTCCGACATGCGGCGGAGGCTGCGCCTTCGCGGGGACGCGGTGCTCACACTGCTGCTCGGTGTCACCCTCGGCCTCCTGCTCTATGCTCAGCGCGACAGCTCGACCCCGACAGCGGGTGCACCCCGAGCTCCAGGAAAAGCGATGAGGAGGCCCAGCGTGGTGCCCCACACGTACCAGGCACTGCGCCCCGAGGCAAAGCCCCTGGCCTACGAGGGGGACACACCGCTGCCGCCCACCCCCACGGGACCTTTTGACTTCGGCCGCTACCTGCGTGCCAAGGACCAGCGTCGCTTCCCACTGCTCATTAACCAGCCGCACAAGTGCCTTGGGGATGGCACGCCTGGTGGAGGACCCGACTTGCTCATTGCGGTCAAGTCTGTGGCTGCTGACTTCGAGCGTCGCCAAGCGGTGCGCCAAACGTGGGGCGCCGAGGGTCGGGTGCAGGGGGCCCTGGTGCGCCGCGTGTTCTTGCTGGGTGTGCCCAAGGCCACAGGCACCGAGGGGGACCCCGAGGAGGGTCCTCGGGCGCACTGGCGCGACCTGCTGCGCACCGAGAGCCTCGCCTATGAGGACATTCTGCTCTGGGCCTTCGATGACACGTTCTTCAACCTAACGCTCAAGGAGATCCACTTCCTGGCCTGGGCCTCAGCGTTCTGCCCGCAAGTGCGCTTCGTTTTTAAGGGCGATGCGGACGTATTTGTGCACGTGGGGAACCTTCTGGAATTCCTGGCTCCGAGGGATCCCGCACAGGACCTGCTTGCAGGGGACGTGATCTTGCAGGCCCGGCCGATCCGCGCGCGAGACAGCAAGTACTACATCCCCGAGTCGGTGTACGGCCTGTCCGCCTACCCGGCCTACGCGGGCGGCGGCGGCTTCGTCCTGTCGGGGGCCACGCTGCGCCGCCTGGCCGGGGCGTGCGCGCAGGTGGAGCTCTTCCCCATCGACGACGTCTTCCTGGGCATGTGCCTCCAGCGCCTGCGGCTCACGCCCGAGCCTCACCCCGCGTTCCGCACGTTCGGCATCTCCCGACCTTCAGCGGCGCCGCACCTGCGCACCTTCGACCCGTGCTTTTACCGGGAGCTGGTGGTGGTGCACGGGCTCTCGGCGGCTGACATCTGGCTTATGTGGCGCCTGCTGCACGCGCCGCACGGGCCAGCCTGTGCCCACCCACGGCCCGCGGCTGCAGGACCCTTCCAGTGGGAGTCCTAGACACCCCTCATTGTCCGCATGTGAGCTCCCCTCACTTGGACCCAGAATCGAAAGGTTGGAGCCTTGAAGGGAAGGCTTTTCCGTTCACTGGTGCAGTGTAACGGGTTCTAACCAGAGCTGTTCGGATCCCACCAGGTAGCAGGTTAGTGTACATGGGACCCCACGTAAGGGAGGAACGTGGCCCCTGCAGGTCAACTCCCCAGAACTGGTCTGGCACCAGTGTAACGCCACCCCTTTGAGATGGACAGGGCTGAGGCGGGCTTCCCAGAAGTGGGTGTGTGCCAGGGGAGGGTGGCAGGGCTCCTGTGCCCGGCTCTCCTTGGTCTGGACCCTCCATGGGGGCCTTTCTCCTGGGCGGCTCCCACCTGAAGACATGTGTGCTGCTCACGTGTCACTCCAAACTGGATCCTCAGTTCTGTCCAGCTATTAGTCCTTCACAGGCCAGTCTCCTGGATGCTTTCCCCCTAAAACTTCACCTTCAATTATTTTCCAGTCACTTCCTTTTTTTAATAAAAGACTTACACCATTACACTTATTTTAGTACAAACATCCCAGCAACAGCACATGGTGAGCAGCTGCTGAGGGCATAGGTGCTTTATTCCCGGGGGGGAACAGAGATGAGGAAGGCTGATGAACAGTCCTGGCTGCCCCGGACACAGGATGCTCGGGGTCGGGGGTCTCTGGCCAGGCATGGTTCAGTGGGAAGACACCACAGTCAGTCACAAAGTCATGAGAGTGCCACACAAGCCTGGCTGCTGGCCCAGGAACCACAGGCGCCCAGGGCAGGTCCCCTGTGCGTCTGTCATTAGACTATACAGGATGAGGCTGTACATGAGTTAATTACAAAAGAGTCATATTTACAAAAATCTGTACACACAGTTGAAAAACTCACAAAATTGTCATCTATGTATCACAAGTTGCTAGACCAAAATATTAAAAATGGGATAAAATTATACATTTCTCTCCTCAATTCTTTTCAAAAGGATTAATATTTTTAAAGCACATACGCTACTTTCCTTAGCAAGACCCACGAAGAGGCTGAGCAGACTCAGCCCTCCTTGAGCCCCCAGAGGCCTTGGGCCAGGAAAGGGCCCGGCCAGGGGACACTGCCCAGGGCTGAGGCAGGGGCAGGGAGCCAGCCCACAGTGCAGAACAGAATACTAGAACAGAGGGAGGAAGATGTCTTTGGCTAAAACTTTGGCATCAAATAAAAGAGGCAAACAGAATGAAAACATGCAGCCCCACCAGCCAGGTAAGGGCAGAGCAGGGGCACAGGGACCATGAAGGCTGGCTCCACGAAGGGAGAGGACCAGGCCTGGGCACATTCCTGGAGGGTAGAAATCTCTGTTTCAAACCACTTGAGTGTGCCTGCTGGGCCTGGCAGGGAGTTCGTGCAAGAAAAGGAACCGGGAAGGGCAGGTGAGCCAGATGGGCCCCAGCCAGCTCATCAAGTAACTAAAGTGGATGTAGTGCAAATGTCACAACCAAGTACTATGGACATGCTACCTGCTTGGTTTAAGGGTCACGTGGCAATGTGTGGCCAAAGGCAGGACTTCTTGTCCTCATCCTGGATGTCTGTGTCCTCAGCCACAGAAAGAACCCAACTTTCCCAATGTGTGTAGGTCAGGGGTGACAGTACCCTGCCTCCTCGTGTTAGTTGAGTTCCTGGGTCCAGATATCAAGGCTCAGAGTTTGTGCTTCTCTTTGCAATCAGTTTCTCCTGCTGGTTGGTGCCTGCAGGCTGAGGATGGACAGAGGAATAAGCGGGCCCTCAGCACACCCAAGGCCCACCTCAGGGTATCACAACAGCCCTTCAACACTGGCAAGGTGTCCAAGAAAGGTGTCCAGGGTGGCACACGGAGGCCCACTGAGCAAGATATGGTGCACAGTTCCATAGGGAAGAGGGACACATAGTGGTGCCCCTAGGAGAGTTCTGCTGTTCTCAGGTGGGCACCAGGCCGAGGTGGGCCGTACAGGGTCACTGAGGCAATGTGGTTATTTTGCATGACCTGGTGTGAGAAGAATACAGTGGGTCAAAGGGGAGGGGCAGACAGAGGCCAGACCCAAACTACCATATTGAGACTGACTGCAGATTGCCTTGTGAAGACCTGGGTACAAAGCCATGGATTGTGCACAAGATATAGATGCACACAAGCCTAAGTGTCCCAACTATCAATACTTCAGCTATGCTTAAAGCCACTTCTGCCCCCAAGGCCTCAGCCTTCTCCTCATGGGACACATGTCCTTTACCATATCCATCTGTCTAGGTCTTCGGAACAGCCAAGAAGGTCGGACATCCAGAAGGGGAAACAGAGGCAACTCATTCTTCCTCTGAGCTGGTGAAGCCTCTGCAGCCCCTCACCACAGTACTGGACACGTCAAGCCCCCAGCATCCCTGGGCTGAGCGCTAACTTACCTGTGGTTCCCTACCCCTCTGCACCCATGTTTTCATATAGAAGGATGGGACTTCAGTTACCTCTCATCTTGGATACAAACCACTGCTTTAGCCTCCATGGCCCTGCATTTCCCCAACACCATTTCTGATCGTTCACTCATTAACCTGACTAGCACGGCAGTTAGGCCTTCCTCAATCACTTGCCTGTCCTTGCCATGACCACTGACCCCTAAGTCAGCATATCTCTAGGGCTCCAGGCTTACCTCAAAGATCATCCGCTGAAGACCAAAGCAGAATGTGGAGCCAAATGGATTGGTGTTGTTTGGGGAGGATGACCTGAGGACAGAGAAACCAGAATTAGAGCCAAGGCCAGCTTCCAATGTCTTTCAGGATGGGGGCTGCACCCAATCCCCAAAAGGCCCTCGAGGTCCAAGGAAGTGGTACTCAGCTATGAATCCTACATAGCCAAACCTGACATAGAACACCAGCGCAGGCCTTATTAAGTAAAGGGTGCTGATTTAGGTAGTATAGCAATCAGAAATGGGGGTATGGAGTAGCAGCAACCTTGATGAGGAAAAAGTCCAGGTGACCTAGTAAAAGGTACCCCCTTAATATCCATGCAGAAGAGTGGGGAGAGGGGAGATATTCCTAGGGGATAATCCCTCTGTCACAAGTAACAATACAGAACAGTAGGCAGTCAGGGTAGGGAGGAAGTATGTTTGTGGCAATAACATGAACAACATGTGTAATTTGAAGCAGTACCCAGCTCAATTCCCTGGGCTGTGGGAGCAGGGACTAGAACTGCTCCCCTCACCTGTGCAGGACCACAGGCTTCTCCACAGGGTGGCCCAGGAGCTCCTGGATGTTGTCCCACTGTAAGAGGAACAGGGAACAGCCGGAGGTTAGTGGGGACTTGAACAAGGCTGTGACCACTGGCAGGTCCACACTCCCCTCAGTCGAATGCTGGGTCAGGTGGGAGAGTGGTAGTAGCTCACCTTGCTGTAGGTTGTACAGGTTTCTGTCTGACCATCTGTGTTTTCTAAAAAAAGAATACCAGGGGCAATTGAGAGCTGGTCCACACTTGTTCAAATAAATAGCTCAGCCCTAGGCCGAATGCAGAACTGGCCAACTTTTGCACTGAGGTCTGATGGTAAAGGAAGCACAGACAGGTTGCCTGAGAGCTCATGTAGAAGAGGTGGAGGGCCGAGGGAGGTGGGCAGAATAAGCCAAACCACCTGAAAATGGGAGCAATTACCATTCACCAAGGACAACCTAGGGGCACCTGGATGATCATCTGTGGGCAGGAAAATGTCCAGGGGCCAGCAATTCCATAATCACAGGAAAAGACTTTTAAGGCCTTTAAAAAGATAACAGACTTAGAACCAGAGACCTAACCTAGAGAAGCTAAGGCTGTGGGCTGAACCAGGGCGTCAAAGGCTCCACACCCAACCACCAGTAGCCTCTCGGACTGTCCCTCCTGGAGTAAGAGAATGACCTTCCAACCCTTCCTTTCCTTGAAGGCATTCACTACTCACCTTTCTTTATGGCTAGTGGGATCTTGAACTCACAGCGGTGGTAACTAGAGAGAAAAGGCAGACAGAATAAAGACCAGGCCTCCCAGGACACCTGAGGATCCCTGACCCTATTCTTTCCATCCGGAAAAAACAGAATCAAATGCACTGAGCTGCCCAAAGCCTTGACTTTGGTGCCCTAACAGCATTCACTGGGGGAAGGACAGATTTAGGCTCTGAGGGCAAACAGAAACGGGCCTGGCCCCAGGGTCTGAAGACTTTATCCCCTTGGAGAAGACATGACCCTTCCTAGACTTACACCCTTATAAGGTATTGAGCCTGTGCCATAGTCCTAACAAAAACCTCAGGAAAACAGGTCCATGCTTATGCAATAGCGAGCACTCAGGTGTAATTACTTAGTGAACATCTAAAGCCCACTCTCCCCTCAGGTGTTCACTTTTTTTTTTTAACTTCTTTATTTTTCATTTCAATGAACATCTACAGAGATTTTGGAATTCCATTCATTCATTGTTGCACACACACACACCCCCCCACCCCCCGTTTGCTCCTCTCCTTCAAACACAAAAGAAAAACGCCCTCATTGGTACGCAATCCCCCAGGGTGTTCACTTCTTATAGGGCAGGTACAGGTATACTCACATGTTAAAATTATAATGCCCAGGGTAATTGGTATGTAAGACAAACTTCTTTACTTTGTGTGTATTTGCATCAAAAAGTATGTCCTAGGACAGAAAACAAAGGTGGTCAAGTAGGGAAGGTTACCAAGGCAGGACTAGAGCCTTCCCAATGTTCACCTGGGGATTCCCATTCCACAGCGGGGATGTCTGGAGACAATGGATTTCGGTTTCTCCTAAGGAATAGTCAAGGGGCTAGCTGAGGAGAGGCAGCCTCCATTGGGCATCTTCAGTCAGGGGACTCAGTCACCTACAGGTATTCATTCCACCACAAACTGTGGACCAGGAGATGTGGCAAGCCCAGGAGACTATGGCTCCCACTGCTTGGGGCCTAGAACATGGCAGGGTAACTTCCCAACAAGTATCTGTCACAGAATAACAAGTACAGACTGTGGCTTGAAGGCTACCAAGAAGATTCAGGTGTCACCTGATTCCTCAGGGGCTCAAGGTACCTGCACATTCTGATGCCATGACCCGCAGACCCTCTTGGCCTCCATTATATCCTCTCTGGAGGGGTGGGGAACCACTAGAACAAGAACTCCAGGCAAACCTCTCATCAGGATTCAGATCTGGAATGCCTAGTGAATACTTCCTGTCCCCCAGATCTTTCCCAGCTTACATCTTGACAGCTGCTCAGGCTTCTAACCCCAAGGCTACCTCTGACTCCACCTCCTACCCACACTACCTCCTATTCAGGCTGACCCCTTTTATCTTTCACTGCTAAACCTCAAACTCAGAGGTCCACCTTGCACAGGGCCATTTTCTCCCACCACCATCCTACACAGTGGGAGAGCATACAATGCTTCCCCATTGTTTCTCGAGACCCCATTTCACCACATGGGCAGACCTGGTCTCCATTCTATCTGAGTAGAGACCCCGTTTCACCATATGGGTAGACCTGGTCTCCTATCTCCGAGTACCTCACTGTGCCACTGTATCACCAAAGTATTTTCTATCTCAGGACTCGAGTAGGTTCACATGTTGTTAAGATCCAAGGTCCTGGGCAGCTATGCCCTGAAATACATCCCACTGGCGCCGTGCATACACAATCGTTTCTCATACCTGCGTCCTATCCACCAGTTGGACTGCTAGTGCTGGTGGTGGCTACCATCTCCACCCATCACCCTAAGTCAGAGCACAGAGCTGTCTCTGGAGTGACCCCCTAAAAAAGATAAGCACACTCTCATTGTCTCTGATTGTTTCCTTTTTAATCTCCCTGTTTTCCAATGCCAGAAGAGGGTCGTGTGCTCTACAAATGGGCTGTTCGCATACATCTTAACCTGCACGCGTACATCTTAACCTCCAGAGTCTCAGTATGTGACGAGTGTTCCCTAAGGAAAGAAGCTGAGCACACCAGGGAGCCATCTTAGTGGCAGAAAAGATCTGCTCTTGGGTGTCTACACAAAATATTACTGGGCAAACGCAGCTGAAATTTAGAGTCCCTGATGCCCTGAGCATAGACGCAGCTGCATTTGTACATACAGGCGTGCCCACCAGACCTATGCCCTTACCCACAAAAATGGAATGTGTCTCCAAGGAAGCCCCACTTACCACCCCAAGAGTAAAGTAGTTAAAAAAGTAGTCATTGCACTTGGATGGGACTTGCTTGTGAGGGGAGGGAGAATGGATTTTCATCTGTTGGGGAAAAACAACAATGAATTAAAATGCAAGCCTTTCATACAGCTCTTAAGATTGACTAAAAATCTACAAACTGTGCTCCTTATATAATGTTACACTATTGGGTGAGCAAGTATGAGGGAAGTCTTGGCTCTAGTGCCAATCAATGTAGGAAAGGGGGGCCAGCTACAGGTGATAAAGGACTAGACTCTTGTCTCCAAGGAAACTCAGGGCCTTTGCACAAGAACAAAGGCAGGGCAGTTTGATCTGCCTGATACGTCTCCATTAGCTTTTAACTGGACAGAGTCTAAGAGGGAAACAGCAGTTTATATTTACTCAATATTAAATTAGTGCTGACTTAGGGAAGGGGGGGGGAGAGATGCCTATTCATTCTGTTATCATTTCCTTACCTTATCTTCTGACTTATAGAAGACCTTGTGTGGAGAGCCAAGCATGCTAAGAACATCTTGGCAGGAATCACCAAAATACACTGAACGCTCAAATACTCGCATCTTGGCATCTGCCAACAGGCTGGGCCCACAGCCTGTAGAAAACAAGAGAGAGGTGGGTCAAGTTTCTGGACAAGTTGGAGATCCTTGCAGCCCAGAGACTCAGAAGGCAGTAGAGTGGCCACTGGTTACCTGTTGCCTTACCAGCCTGGCTGAGCTTGGCATGCAAGCAGACACATCTTGCCACCAGGGCTCAACACAGATAGTCTGCCCACAGGAAGCTTACAGTCTAATGAAGATCACAAGCAGAGCATAAAGTGCTGTGAAGTATATAACTGTGCACTACTTTTCAGGTTCTGAGGAGACAGAAACTAAGGAACTATTTTTTTTCTTCTTTAAATAAATTTTTATTTTATACTGGTTTGCTTACCAAGTTTGTATACACTGTTTTTCATACCAGATCTTTCCCATTATCTTTACCTTTCCCTCCTTCTACCCATCAAATTGTGAGACCCTATGATTACCCCCTGCCCATCCTTACTCCTGCCCTTACCTTCCCTCCCTTGGATCCTCAGACCCGTTATCTTTCCATTTCTACAATAACAGTCTTATACAGTATTTATCCTTACGGGACTGAGTTAGTTCCTTTACCATAATGCTCTTCAGTCCCTCCCAAGTTAGGTGGTAATTTTCAAAATCACTGTTCCTGCATGCTGTGTTGTATTCCATCATGTAAATGTATGAGAATTTATCACTCAATCTATTCAATTGTGGTTGGACATTTGGGCTGTTTCTATATTCTTGGGATGGTGAATAATGAATGCTACCATGAACATTGGCGTACAAATCTGTGTCTCATTTCTAATTTTCTTGGGGTGTATTCCAAGTAATGGGATAGTTGGATCATATGGAATTTCTATGTTTGGCTTTTTTTAGGAAATGTAAATCTGCCTTCCAGAGTGGCTGTACCATTTTACTATCCCAACAGTGTGTAAGAGTTTTCCCATCTCTCTACATCCTCTCCAACATTTATTACTTGCTGTCCTATTAAACTTTGCATCTGCTACTGGGGTGAGATGGTATCTCACTGTGATTTAGATCTGCATCTTTCTTACTGTCAGTGAATTTGAGCATTTCTTCACGTGTCTATTGGCCATCTGAATATCTTCCTCTGTGAAAGTTCTTTCCATGTATCTTGCCCATTTTATAACTGGGAGGCCCTATAGAAGTCTGTAAACTTTTGTTATGAGACTCTTGCCTGAAATGATATTGCTAAATGGTTTTCCCAGTCAGTAGGTTTTCTTTCCACTGCGTTGGAAAATGTTTTGATGCACCCACCTTTAGAAGGTCCCATTCATTAATTTTATCCTCTCCTGGTTGTGTATTTCTGGTTGTCAGCCTTTTTTATACCCTCTAAGCTAGGCCCTCTAAGCTTGGTCCTACTTTGTCTCTTAAGATCTTTATGATAGGCTTTGGGCTTTAGCCCTAGGCTCTGATCCTCACTGAGTTGTTTTGGCTATGGTGAGAGGTGCACATCCTGCTTCAACTTTCTGCAGGCAGTAGTCTCGTTTTGCCAGCACCATTGGTTGAAGAGGTTGTCATTTCCTCATTTGATAGGTCTGTTTTCTTGCTGAATTATCAATTGACCATAGACAAATGGATTAATTTACAGAACTATTTTTAATACCTTCTCTCTGAGGTTCACAAGTCTGCTTCTAGTTCTCACTATCCACAGGCAACTTCTTCCTTATAGTAATCACAACCTGAAGACTGAAGCAGCTGAAATTCCTCATGGCAGGAGAAAGCCACAAGAGGCATGGAGCTACTGCAGGCAGCAGCCCCTTCTTGTTTATGGTCAGCAAAACTCTCAGCAGAGAGGAGCTGAACCAAAATTCAATGAGTCCTTCTGCCTGCTTCCTTGAAAACTGGGCATTAAAGGTAGAAAAGGAGAGAATGGACAATACTGCAGCCTACATGATACATTCCCAAGAAATAAACTGGGAAACCACTGCAAAGTTAACATTAACACACAGCATATGTAAGCATATGAGGGAAGCTGCTATATATTTAAATAAAGACTTTAATTATAAATATCTGTACAACTTATCTCCTACGAATTTTATCTCTAAACATGTGAGACTTTAGAATTTCTCAACATGGGTGTAGGGAGCCCTGGTGGCCTAGCGGGTAAGAAGTTGTGGTGCTAACCTAAAGGCAAATGGTTTGAATCCACTAACTGTTCTGTGGAAGAAAGATACGCAATCTTCCATAAGCCTCTAAAAACCTGTTAGAGGGTCAACCTGTGAGTCAAAACTCAGTAACAATAATAACAATATGGGTGTGGGTGCAATGGGGAGCCCACAAAACCAGTAACTGACCTGCAGCAAGTAGGCGAAGTCGTAAACCTGAGGGTCCAGTTCCATCGCGAAGAACATCTACACTCTCAGCGTACACATTGCCCAGGAAACAGCTCAGGGGCATCACAGGAGCCCTGGGTGAAGGCAAAGAATGAGAAGAGGCTTTGTCTCTCTTGCAGGGAAGCCCCTGGTCTCAGCAAGAAGCCCATGAACTCCCTCACTTACTTGGTATCCTGTAAGCTATTGCCACTATAGATGTACATTCGTTTCACAGTCGCTCCGTGAGGAATCTGCAGAGAAGCTAGGCCATGGGCAAAATTGGGCTGCAAACACAAGACATGTTTTATTAAGGGCACACTGCAGGTCACATGACTCAAGTACTCAGTCTTCAAGCAGTGATGTGATAAACCTGGCTCCAAGTCAATAAATTCAATCCACTGTGCAAGTTCACCTTAATTCTTAGTTTTCCTTTCTTTTATCAGAAGATGATGTAGGAATTTTTTGTTTGGTTTTTTTGGTATTTTTTTAAAGATGTAAACCTATGAAAAGCTATTTTCATAACCCTATAGATGTTACTGCCTTTGAAGATGAATGAAACACTGACACCAGTAATAGGAAACTGAAAATAAAGGTTAAAACTGTCATATTCTAGATAACTAAGAAAACAACCCAGTGATCTGGAGCTTTAAGGCAAAGGAGGACAGGACTGGTCTTTGAGAAGCGAGCCTGCCCTCCCTCACGCTGCAGCGGGAACAAAATGGCATCCTGGGTCTTGCTCTTCCTCTCCAACTCCCACCCACCCAACTGGCCTCTGAAAAATTCCAAGATAATGAAACCAGGCTTATTTAACCTCTCCTCCCCTCAACCCCTTCTCACCTAAGCCTTGCTGACCATCTGGGAACTGGAATGGGGTAAACGAGTACAGAATAAAAGTGAAGGCTAACCTCGTACTTGGGAGCCTCAGTCCACGAGTCTAACTGAAATGAGAAGGACAGTCCTCTGAAGTTGAGGTGGAAGAGCTGCTCAGCAGAGTTGTACACTGTGGGAGTGGGGAGGGAGTGAAAAAGAAACAGTTGACTGGCTCCTGAAGTCGCGAACTTAAGCAGCCTGGCAGAGAGTAATGACTGTTGACAACTTCCTCGAGTCTCATTTCTGAACTGACTTCTCAGGTTAAACTAAGCTTGCCTCTCATATCCAAGGACCAAGCCCAAAACTCTATGGGAATCTGGCTCTGGAGGTGGGACAAGGACTGTGTCACTGTGTGCCACTACTGATGACCAGAAGAAATCAGATGGACTTAGCTTACCTCCTGGGTGAGTTGCGCCAAAAGACTGGTCAATCTGCTCAATGGTGGGAGGTATGGCCTGAGAGTTAAAATGCACACCACTGAAGAAAAAAAAAAGGACTTTTTAATACCAGGCATCACACGAATGGGCTTATGGATCATAGGTGATTATGGCTGAAGAAGTTATTAATTATTAAAACACAGTAACTCTACAATGATTTCAAAATAAAAGTTAAAAAATTTTAAAATAAGAGATTTAATGAGGTAAATTCTTATGAACGTGATAAACAGTTATCTTCCGTGGGTTTCTAAGACATTTGTGAACAGGTACAGTACAGAAAAAAGAAAGCAACAACTAGTGTCAGCCCCATGGCATTCTCAAACTCAGTATGGCATGGAGACTTGGAAAAAGAACGGCCAGGAGAAAAGAACTGGTGTATTCTTCCAGAGGAGGACTAGTGGTTTAGCTTGAAAAGAAACTTAGAAAAGCAACCGACACCCTTAAGAGGAAGGGTGTATCCTAGCAAGATGACATGTCTCCTTGCCATGGAGATGAGCTAGGACTCCGAGCCTGAGTCGGATGGAAAGGGAGGGATCTCATACAAGGGACAATAAAAAAAACTAAGCTGGGTTGGAAAGTAAAGACTACTTTATTCTCTCATATGAAGAATATGAAGACAAGGAACTTTTGACTTCAAGAAAGCTCAAAAGTTAAAAATAATTTTAAAAAATCAGTCGTACAGTTTCTGTGCAATTTCATGTCACAAACTTTGTGCATGTTGTGAGGAAGTGCCAGTCCTTGGGAAAAAAGAGATCATGCTGGGAAAGGTGGAGGGTCAGAGAAAGAGCCGAAGGCCCTCAACATGATGGACAGATGTGGTAACAATGGGCTTGGGCATATCAGAGATCATGAGAGCGGGCAAGATAGGGCAAGATTCAGACTGTTGTTCACAGGGTCACTCTGAGTCTTAGTCAACTCGATTAGCACCTAACAACATGTTTTATGAAATACTTCTTTTTAACAAAACAAACCACAAACGAATATAAAATCCAGTCAGGTGTCGTTCTACATGTCTTACCAGCATAATCTCACATAATTTACCTAACAGCCCTGAAGCCTCATTTCTCTGATGAGAAAGCAAGATCAAAGAGGTTAAGTGACTTGCCCTAAGTTATAGTAAGTGGTGAAACTGTAATTAAAATCTTGGACAAAATGACTCTGGACTCAGAATTCTTATTTTAAAAAGAAGGTAGAGAAGCCTAATCTTGAGGTTTGATGCCAAAAAGCCTCCTACGGACACTAGCGCTCCAGAGCAATTTCAGAACAAGACATCTAAAAGCCGCAGGGGCCAGTGCTAATACACATTAGCTCATCCACTGCTTCGTCCATCAGTAGATGTTGCTTAAGTCTACTCAGGGAGTTAGGCTCTGCACCCTCCCTCAAAAAGGGAAGCAGCAGCCGGTTAAGGCGGCTTACCGAAAGGGGAATTCTTGATGTTAGCAGCACTTTGCTATAATGAAGTCTAAAACATCTATGACCAAAAGATGGTCTCTTTGCCATTATCATTAGAAAGGCTCTGGAGTCAGATACATTTCTTCTGCTCAAGAAAAGAGGTGCTAAGAGAGGAAGGGTTGGAGACTACATATCACCTGAGCTCAGGACCTGCTCTATTTTGAGGATTAAAAAAGAAGATACACACGTGAAGTGGTTTAATACACAGCACAGTATTATATGAAGCTTATGTCCCTTCCTCAGACTTGGGGTTTGTCTCAAGAAATCATAGCATAGGTCTGTAATCTTGGTCTGCTTAAGATGTGAATACCTTATTGATTGAGCACAGAAGACAAAGATCTGTGCCAAGTGTGACATACAGCAGCAGGGAGAAAACTTACCAATATTTTAACTTTACTTTAGTCAAGTCATACACTTCAATCACCTAAAAAACAAAACACAGATGTTTCCAAGTTAATAAGGCTCTGATGTTGATGACAGACCGAGACCACCCCTTGGGCCATGACAAAAGAAGACTTCCTGTCTATCCTGCCCCACCTCACAAGACAGTGACACACCCCAAAAGCCTGAATTCATCTAGTCTGTTGGGTATACCATGGACAGAAACTAAGCCTCTCTCTTCCCATTTCATACTTCACTGCATTATGAAAACCCAAGTCAAGCCACTTTAAAAGAAATGGTTTTAAATACTGTGATCTACAAAACAAAAAAGAGGGGAAGAGGGATATATCTGGCTAGAAAACAAGCCATATTACATTACACATGTCACGTCTGATGGTTTTCACTTATGTCTCTAATGAAGAACATTTGGCTGAACCCTGAGACCCTCTTGGTCAGTGTGCTCTTTAACAGATTCAGCGGCAAGTAAAATGCTATACATTGCTCATGAAAAGAGGTGCTAAGAGTGGCTGTGCAGAAGACAGACACCTCACAGGGTGGAGAGAAAAGAAAAGGCATTGAACATTCAGTCATCAGTGTCAAGGAACGACCATAATGAAGTCCTCCATGTGAATGCTGTCAAGGGCTTGGCAGCTAGCAGCATCATTGCCCAGAGGCTGGGTACCAGCTACCAGGTGGGAGGTCTGGCTACACTGACGAAGGACAAGTGGAATTGGCTCATTGTCTGTGTCATGCCAGCCAAAAAATCTGGTATAATCCTGGGAGAGGTTGTGGAACAAATGGGTGCAGCAGCACTGGCATGACTATAGAAACTGGGATAAAATCATTTATCCCTGGTCAGAAATCCTGTCTTAACTTTGTTAGAGACTGTACACTGAACCAGTTTTACACGTCTTATCATCATCATGCAATTACGCTGCTCTTCCTTGCTGAAAAGGATCACAATGAAAGAAAAGGTGGGGCAACAGTTAGGATAGTGAAGCCAGCCAGTGCCCCCGTTAGAAAGCCTGGGCATGGCAGGCAGTCCACTAGACCAGGTGTTTACAGTTGGTAGTCCCGGCAGGGCAGGTATTCTCTCTCCTTCACTATGGCTAGCTCCTGGTCCCAAGGTCTTCCACTCAGGGAAGGTGGGTCTAGAGGATAGTCTTCTGTCACTGTCATCTATTTACTGCCAACTCAGCCTAATAATTAGGTCTCTCAACCCTGCCTACCCAATGGGTAAGAGGGGAGCAAAGTTAATCGTAGGACCTAGAATAGCAAGGGACCTAGAGGGCTGACCACCTGTGTTATTAGGAAAAGAAAAAAGCACACTGCAGCCCATGCAACTTCCTAAGCCTGTTGGACAACAGCTGGCGAAGCCTAAAGGCCTGGATTTTCCACCCTGAAGGTCTTAGTTTCCTCAGAGGTAAGGAGCCAGGACAGCAGCCAGTAACCAAAAAAGGAAACGAAAAGGTGGTTGGAAAGGCTGTGACCTGTGAAACCTCAACCTACAGGGCTTCTCTCAGGCTCTGGAGGCTAGGGGAGGGAACTGCAGGAAAAAGCATTAGGAACAGGTAGATTCTGAAGTCCTTGGATGGAGAGACAGGTAAATGGGTTAAGCAGAGCGTCATGCCAAAACATGAATAGGGAGTCACTTCCTCAGTCTCCAGGGGTCTCTTAATGCCAATTAAGACACCCAATCCTTTTGTCTTCAGGAGAATCTCACAGAGGCAGACAAGCACAGTTTGGGTCTAATTTATATCTTCATCTATGCAAATGTATTTCTCACATTTTTTAATGAATTTCATTCACATTATTATCTTCAATGTTTGAATTTTTTTTTATTATTAAATTTTATTAGTTTCAATGAACATTCACAGGGATTCTGGGCTTTCACTCCTTCATTGCCGCACCATTCTCTCCACCCTCCTCCCCAGTTTGTTCTTCTTCCC